GCAATAAAAAAGAAAGCCAAACTGAGGAAGGAAGGGCGGTCACTGCAGAATCCACAGACAACCATTAAATGACATTAGCAACAATTTTATATTAATCTATTTGAAAATTTAGATAAAATGGAAAAATTACTGGAAAAATGCACTTACCCAATGAGTTTTAACAGTTTGCTAAGTACAATTTCAACATTCAAAAGCAAACATTTTATATACTGACAACTGAAAAAAGTTCTAAGACAGTATTTATCAAAAATAAATATACCCTGAAATAAAACTTCTGAAAATGTGCAAGAGCTATTTAAAAACTGTAATATATTTTGACAAAGGAGGCAAGAACATACAACGGAGAAAAGTCTTTTCAGCAAGTGGTGTTGGGAAAACTGGACAGCTGCGTGTAAATCAACGAAGTCAGAACACTCCCTCACTCCATACATCAAAATGGCTTAAAAACAATATGAGACACTATAAACCTCCTAGAAGGAAACAGGCAAAACATTCTGACATAAATCTTATTCATGTTCTCCTAGGGCAGTCTACCCAGGCAGTGGAAATACAAGCAAAAATAAATAGGGCCTAATTAAACTTGTATTAGCTTTTGCACAGCAAAGGAAACCATAAGCAAAACAAAATAGCCTATATAGAATGGGAGAAATGATTTGCAAATGAATGAGACCAACAAAGGCTTAATTTCCAGATATATAAACAGCTCATACAACTTAATAACAAAAAAAACCCAATCCAGAAATGGGCAGAAGACCTAAACAAGCAATTCTTCAATGAAGACATACAAATAGCCAATAAGCACATGAAAGAAAACGCTCAATATTGCGAAGTATCAGAGAAATGCAGATCAAAAATACAATGAGTTATTGTCAGCATGGCCATCATTCAAAAGTCCACAAATGATAAATGCTGGAGAGGGCATGGAGAAAAGGGAACCCCCCCAACACTGCTGGTGCGAATGTAGTTTAGTGCAGCCGTTATGGAAAACAGTATGGAGATTCCTCAAAAACTAAAAATAGACTTACTTTATGATCCAGCAACCCCACTCCTGGGCATATATCTGGAGGGAGCTCTAATTTGAGAAGACACATGCACTCCAATGTTCACAGCAGCACTGTTTACAATAGCCAAGACATGGAAGCAACCTAAATGTCCATCGACAGATGACTGGATAAAGAAGCTGTGGTATATTTATACAATGGAATACTACTCAGCGATAAAAAGAATAAAATAATGCCACTTGCAGCAACATGGATGGACTTGGAAATCCTTGTCATTCTAAGTGAAGTAAACCAGAAAGAGAAAGAAAAATACTATATGATATCACTCATATGTGGAATCTA